TGCAATGAATTGGTATCCTACAGTACCTAGTCCTTTGCACAAAAGGTATACAATTTCTAATGAGAAAAATATAATTAGAATTCAATGCATCAGGAAATATAAAACATAATTCATAATATCTTATAGAACAAAATAGAAAATACAAAATGTAAATTACAAAATAAGTTTCTTTAAATAATAATGAAAATATTATTACTATAGCATTGTATAGCTATACTAATTATGAGTTTGGAATTGTCATTGCTGTTTGTTGTTAATGATGTTGAATCATTTCCAACCCATAGCGACCCTATATAGGGATTCTGAGGAGTGGCTGATGAGATGTAACCACCGATCTTGCAGTTCAGTGCAGTAACCCACAGCACCACACCAGGACTCTGTGACTTTGGGAATAGAAACCTCAAAATAGACCTGCACCTATATGGATGCTAGATGCATGATAGAAATGCCATTACGTTTTTGTGACTAAGGGTTATCAGGCAACAAATGGAGCTGCAAAATTTCTCCGTAATTTAGGAAAAAATAATAAAGTTGAACTTTTATCTCATTAGATTAGGCAGATTAGATGCTTAAATATAAGCACAAAATTTTAGTTGAAAAATAGGAAGATTTTCTTTATAATACTCTATCATGCTGTTAATGAATGATATTTTCTTTATTGAGTTATATAAGTTCTATATAAAATATAAGTTCTATAAGTTTAATAAGTCTTCTTGATGCAATGTTCTTCATATAATCCTTCTCCTTGGATTATTTGGTCATCATACAAATTTAGTAAGTATGGTGAAAATACATCACCCTGGCTCACAACTTTCATGATTTTAAACTATTTATTATCCTCTTGTCCTGTTCTATTGACTGCATGGTCTATATATAGTTTTCTCATATATTAAGTGTTCTGGAATACACCCATTCTTCTCAATTTTATCCATAGTTTGTTTTGATCCATACAGACAAATAATTTGCACGGTCAATAAAGAAAAGTCTTCTCTGCTTTAAGTCATCTGATATCAGTAACGATGTCCTTAGTTCTACATATCTTAATCTATATATTATTTTACTACTGAATATTTTATATGGAAGTAAACAGGAAATAAAATGACTAGACTACATGAACTAAAGGGGAAGTAGGTTATGGATTTTTCTTTTAAGAATTTAAATTATAATCCAGAAACCTTGATATTTATTTTGTGTTTGATACTTTTTCTCGTTATTCATTCAATTTTTTTTCAGAGACCACTGGGAAACATATGCTTGATTCAAATTTGTACAAATGACTTTATATATTCAGAAATATGTGGCCTTTTTAATCTATCCTTTTTTCCCAAGCATAATTTTTGTTTAGCGAAATTGCCAATTGCTGAGATGTTTATTTTCAAATATGTGGTAACTATTTAGTTACTAAGTTTCTAAATTTCTAATCTCAGGTATATAAATATTTATTATAGAAGTGTTTACACAAACATACATTGAAAATATTGTAACACTATCATTGTCACAGGAGTTTTTGGTAGTTCAAATGGTTAAGTGCCAGCTACTAATCAAATTTTAGTGGTTTAAACCCAATTAGAGGCATCTTGAAGACAGATCCCTGGTGATCTGCTTGTGAAAGTTCACAACCTTGAAAACCTTATGGAATAATTCTACTCTGGACATATGTATGGGCTTGCCACAAGCTGAATCAACTCCTTGACAACAGTGAATGTCAGTATTAAACACAAGTATGAATTATGTAACTCATCTAAATAGAATGGGTTCTCTCACCTTAAGAGAGTTATAGAGAGTGAGATGATCTAGAGATTGATTATGGGGAGAAACAGAGGGAAGGAGAGAGTGAGAGAAAGGAAGGATGGTGAGAGAAATGGAGGTAAAAGAGAGACCCAGTGGTATAACAGTGTTAGAAGGTGATATTGGAGAAGATGATCTGAATGAATATTCACTGGTATGTATGAATATTTTAAAGGACACACATCATTAAGTCATTTATTTGCAAAATATTTACATTTCAAGTGTTCTAACAACTTATAAAGTATTGTATTACAAATAATTTCATGATTTTTTTTCATGAAATCATGCCCTAAAACATTCTTACTAGCAATATGATCTCACCATTTTTTTTTAGGATTAAAAAAGAAACAATATTCTACAGTTTCTTTGACAACAGGAGATGATGACTCATGTAGATCTGACAGTGTGTGCTAAATAGTTGTTTCTTTTTCTCTTTTGTGGGAAGTAGCTGGAAAGGCTGCCTGGTTCAGTCCATTCTTGAGATATACTTAAAACAATACGCTTAGATCCTGTCCAAGCATATGCCACCTCTCTACGCAGTTCTGAATTATGATGGTGTTGATTGTGTGTTGTTGAGTCAGTTCCAACTCATTGTAGTGGGGCCCTATATAACTGTACACAGGGTTGCTATGTATCTGAACTAACTCAATAGCACTTAATAACAATAGGATTTCTGAGGCTGTAAACCTTTACAAGAGTAGAAAGACTCATCTTTCTCACACAGTTCTAAATTTCAGTAAAGAAATTTTGTCTCAGACCTAATTCAGATGGAAGAAACCAAATAAAGTAAATTTATATCTAAGTATGTAAAAATTAGCTACAAAAATATGTAGCAAATTATATAAAACATCAGAGTCCTGGGGTGATGCAAATAGTAAGTGCTCAGCTATTAACTAGAAGGCTGTTAGCTTGAATCTACCTCCAAAGAAATGCCCGATGATATAATTCCCAAGGGTCACAACCATTGGAAACTCTATGGAGTTGAGTTCTACTATGACACAGATAGGGTCATTATGAGTTGGAATCTACTCAACAATAACTGTTTGTTTTGTTTTGTTTTGTTTCCCAGTTATAATTGGCAAAATTTGTTGAACTGATTCAAATTTTCTTCTCAAAATGTACCTATCTTTTATAACCTACTTTAGAATTTTATTTTTGCTTGATATTTATGGTATTCTTGTTGTATCTAGTAATTTTACTATTTTCAAAGGCATGTCATTTTACATTTCAGGAATATACCATAGATGTTTTCTTTCGACAAAAATGGAAAGATGAACGGTTAAAATTTAAAGGTCCTATGAACATCCTTCGACTTAACAATTTAATGGCTAGCAAAATATGGACTCCAGATACCTTCTTTCATAATGGGAAAAAATCAGTAGCTCATAATATGACAATGCCAAATAAATTGCTTCGAATCCAGGATGATGGGACTCTGCTGTATACAATGAGGTATGTTTTTAGGTTTCATATAGAATTACCTCAATTATTAAAATTGATTGTTTAGCTATTTATTATTCATACTGTATTTTAATTAAGTAGAGTTTGAAATGCCATCATTTTAACATTTGTTTATACCACCATGTAACTTTATTTTAAAAAATCTCATCAGACACTTATTAAAATTTTTAGTGATTTTCAAGCAAGTTTTAACTTAGCATTCTTTATTTTCCTTTTGAAGTTAAGCTACAGAGAGAAACAGTATCTTTTTTTAAATTTAGAGATGCAGTTTCCTAAAAAAGCTAGCAATTTATTGGAAACCCTTCAAAAATGTATGTATATCTTTTTTTTTATTTCACAACAAACCAGAATACAAAATTATTAAAGTAAATTTTTGATAAATATGGTCATTCCTTGTGGTAAGATTTTATATTTATCAATGTCTTCTGGAAATTTACCAACATATGAATAAACTGAAATATATTTAAATGTTAATTAGTCTTGTAAGATACTGTTATGAAGGCCTAATCTGAACATTAATTCTTTTGACAACAGTGACATGCTTTACTTTGATTTGCCAGTTTACTTAAACAAAAAGTGGAATTTTGACTTTTAGGCTTACAGTACAAGCTGAATGTCCAATGCACTTGGAGGATTTTCCAATGGATGCCCACTCATGCCCTCTGAAATTTGGCAGCTGTAAGTATAGGGATGGAAGAACATATTTTGGCTAACTAATATCAGAGATAGTCACCACCATTGCTTGCATGTGTATTTTCTTAGTTTCTGCTAATATTATAAAATACAGAATACTGTTTCAGTAAGAAACAAAGACATGCTGATTGCCCTCAGGAACTAATTGGCTAGCCCTCTGATACTTCTCAAACATCATTATATTTTAATCACGGTGTTTGAATGATTGTTTATTTTACCATTAATAAAGAACATCATGTATTTACAAATATGAAACTAGACCATGAGCTCCTTGAATGTTGGGGCAATGTCATTTACTTTCTTTTCCTAAGTGCTAGCAAATCACAAAGGTATAATGAATTATAAAAATTCTATTGTTTATTAAAGTGACAACCTGTTGAAAATAGCAGGCACAGAAGCAATTGCCTTTCCACTTTCTAAGTAATGGTTGGGGCTATTTTTTTATTTTCCTAAAATAAATCTGAAGGAGATGATGTAGCTGGATTACTGCATTGATGCGCCTTCTGTGTACATAGAAAATTTCAGAAAAGGCTCTGTGCTTTTGACATTCTTAGGTCACAGATTATACCTTGTATGTCAATAGCAGCATTCACACTGTTGGAATAATTGAAAAGAGGAAAGGTCAAATCATCTTCCATGGCCTACAAGGCATTCAGGTCAGGTTAGAGACAAATTCATGGACCAACTAAACTGGCGTCTCTTATGTGAGGTACCCCCTTGCTTGACCTTTTTAGAAACTGTGGTCTTTCTGACACTCTTATCTTTGTTCATCTGGGTAGCTTTTGATTTTTTATTTCCTTCTAAATAGAAATGTAATTATCTTATAAAAATCTGTGACCAAATGATATGCCTTCTCATGGACAGTATCTAGGGGAATTAAAAAAAAAAATTGAAGAATGGGGCAAAAGCATCTGATGATTTTGGTGACCATCATTTAGTGGAATATGAAGTTCAGTCTTGTTTGTTCTGTGTATTCTGACAAAGGTGTCAGCTCTCAATTTTCGTTGAAAAATCTCATTTTTGTTTAGCTACTAATCTTTTACAGTTAGGGAAACCATCACTTCAATACTGGCTTGTCTTCTAAAATTATTTAAGGTAGTCAATCATGTTATGCAACTAAATACTATGCTGAAAAAAACTACAGCAGATGCAGGGAGAAGAAAACTTATTTGCATTACATAAGTGGCATTAAGGAGAAAATTGAAAGACTTTGACACCAAACAAAAAAAAAAAATTTTTTTTTTTCAAGATGCAGCAGTAGTGTAAGAAGGAAAGGCATTTTTTAAATGAATAAGTTATTATTAAGATATCAAGTATAAATAATGTCTAAAATCTGAGAAAAAAAATTTACCTAAGAAATATTTTAAATGAAATTCAAAGCATCCCCTGTGCTGTATTTGCAGAGCAGTAGAATATTATATGAGGGAGCTACACAAAATTTGTGAAAAAATTGAATGAAAGAATAGTGAAATTGTTCCAGAATTTTTGAAGCTCACAAATAATCTTGAGAATTTGGCAGTTAAGGTTTATCTGTAACTAGAAGTGAATGGCTAACACACAAAGTTTGTTGCCACATATTTTGTTTGTCATTATTTAATTATTTTTTGTTTGTTTGTTTTGCTTCATGTGTTTTTTTTTTGTTTTTTGTTTTTTTTTGGTACAATGAGGAAATGATTTGTTTATTCCATTTTTTTTCTAATTTTTCTCTGCCTATAGTAGGTGCTTGATGCATGGGTATTAGAAGTATGGACCACCCCCTCAAAGTACACAGGGTGGACAGGGATGGGCAACTTGGACATTGGCTACCCAAAATGGGGGAGCTACAAAGGCAAGAAGTGACTGGCTTACAAGTTTTCAAGAGGGAGCCTAGATCCACAGGGCGAAGAGGGAGGTAGAATCACCACTGAGTGGTATCCAATCTGTTTAGGCGGGACTGATGAAAGGAGATAGAGATAGCACTCATGTGATAAAATAGTGAATAATTACTATCAGGACTGACTGTGAGGGTTGGAAATGTAAAGGTAGATGTTTTGTAGCAAAGGGAGGGGAATGGTTGACTTTGCAGTCCAGGAGCAGAGGTCCCTGGGAGAAGAGCAGAGTGCGGGACACTATCCAGAGAAACAGTGATGCCAGAGATGGAGGCAGAGGTGATGACTTGGAAAGATGGAGTGACGGGGAACTCTAGACCCAGAGAGGGAGAAGCGGCTGTGTACTGATGACCAGGGGGTAGGCTTGCAGGGCATACCGTTTGGTTGGTTGATGATGCATGGAGGGGATTGTACACATGGCAATGAAATGATATACGATAGGATGAATGTAGAGCTAATGCTCTCCCATGTAAACTATCACATAATTCATAATAAAACATTAAAAAAAAAAAAGAATGGACCTCATTGTGGAGCAATTGATGAAGAAGCCAAGTCAATTTTAAGCAAAGTTTAGTAAACTTTAGTACACAGCCATTATTTGTCTTCTACTTATTTATTACTCTCTTTGAAAAGTTCCTTCACTCCATATAAACATATTAATAATAGATAGAATTTTGGGAATTTATCTTTATTCACATAATAGAAGCATCTTTTTTTTTTATATTTACAATTTGAAATCAGTTTTGTTTGTTTGCATTCCTATTGTCTCCAACCTTCATATTTTCCTTTATTGTGTATCTCAGTTTAAAATTTCTTATAAATATACAGATATTCATGCATTAGCCTAAAATGAAATGCAAATTATTTTATGGATAAAAATTATTAATTACAAATGGTTTGGGGATATTTTTCTTGGTGAACAAAGAATAATAATCAATATGCATCCGATGTTTAATACAACTTAGGAATCAAAAATGGTTGTTTAACAGACTTATGCAATTGTTTAGATATAGAATTTATAATAAAATACTTTTGTAAAACAAACCACCTTTCTCTCATTTTGTACTTCATTAAAAAGCATTTTAATGGCCTCATGATTTATGCCTGTGTTAGCATACCAGTTGTTGTTGTTGAGTGCCATGGAGTCAGTTCCGACTCATAGTGACCTTGTATAGAGTTTTTGAAAAATATTTGATAGCATATTGGGTTAAAAATTGAGCTGCAAACTGTAAAGTCAGCAGTTCACTTCTGCCAGTTACTCTGCAGGAGAAAGATGAGGCTTTCTGCTCTCGAAAAGATTTGTAGCTTCAGAAACCCTATACAGAGTCACAATGAGTAGGAACCAACACAGTAGCATACAACCACCACCACAATGGGTTTCTGAGACTGTAAGTCTTTATGAGAGCAGAATGCCTCATTTTTTTTCCCATGGAGCTGCTAGTAGTTTCAAACTGCTGACCTTGCTGTTAGCAGTCCAACTTATATAACCCACTAGGTTGCCAGTGCTCATTATACTTATTTTTAAGGAGAGACCCTCTATTCTGTTTTCTGCTACATCTGCCCTCATCAGACATAAAATCTAAAAAAATACCAGATTGGTATGTAGCCAATTAAGTATGGTAGTTGTTTTTGTAAAAGACGTGTTAAAGATCAGTTATTTAAAATTTTATTTTTGGTCTCTTCTCCAGTTTTCTGTCTTCCCTAACAGTAAATTGTTGTTGTTGTTGTTGTTGTTTTAAGTGCTGTTGAGTCAGTTCCAACCCATAGCAACCCTGTATAGGGTTTCCAAGGAGCTGCTGGTGAGCTTAAACAAACTGCCAGTCTTGCAGTTCAAACTGACATTGCAGTCCAGTGCATTAACCCACAGCACCATACCAGGACTCCTAGTAGTATAAATAACAGAGTTCAAACACTTTGAGTTTATTCATTTTCCCAGTTAGGATGAGCTGAGCAATTTTGCTGTATATCTGGCACTGAACAAAGAGAGAGAGCTATATGCATTCATAGGAGAGAGTCTCAGCCCTTCAGTATCTCATTATCTTGTTTGTTAAAAGTGGCCTAGCATTTTTCAGACTTTGTTTTATTTTATTCATATTTAAAAGAGATTCAAATTCAAAAGTGGTGCAATTGTTCTACTTTCTTAGAAAAAAATTATTAAGTTGCTAAGAAATTTACAATCACTTAGGCCCATCTGCTGTAAAGTACCACATGTGATATTTCTTTTTAATCTGTTAAGTTTGGTGTGATCTGAAACTTGATTGGAAAGAGAATTCATGTGACAAATTTTGTTTATTAATACATAACAAACCACTTGGTGATCTGCAAATGAGTTATTATCCACATTACCACTAGCATTCGTTATGTAATACTCTCAGTGATCTAATTAAGCATTCATTGCAATTGAGACATATTTAGTATATAAAATAACTGTAATTTGCTCATATATAAATTATATCTATTTTTTGTGACAAAAACAAGTCTGCTTGTTTCCATACAGTGGTGGCTTGCATGTTGCCTTGATATTGGAAGTTATGCCACTGGTATTTTAAATACCAGCAGGGTCAACCACGGTGGACAGGTTTCAGATGAGCTTGAAGACAGACTAAGACTAAGAAGAAAGAGAGACGGAATACTTCTGAACATTTCGTCACTGAAAATCTTATGAATAGCAGTGGAACACTGTCAGAGAGCACTAGAATATTGAATATTGAAACATGATGAGGAGCACCA